ACGAAAGTGAATAGAGTGCATACAATGGACACTAATATTCTGGAAGTTTTTCCGTTTCTGATGCAAGATTTAAATTCGAATCCTTTCATGTCTTCAATTTTACTGTCGGCCAATATTTCAGAAAGGCAGCGATAATCCTTACATGGCATGTACTCACTCTATTTCGTGCAGATGGTGGTGGTATCAAAGGTCTACTTATAAACGAAGAATAGATAATTATTTTTCCTTCACGAAAATTTTATTGGTTAGCTTCGAAATCATAACCTGCGGTTTCATCAGTCAGCTACCAAATTCTTGATTAAAACAAAATTAATAGTAATTCCTGATTTTCGAAGAATCTGCAATGAAATTTATGCCGATATTTTAGTCAATAATAAGAATGCATTCGGCTTGTGATCAGTTGACGAACATCTCTTTTACCGTAAATGTGATTCATCTAGTTGCTACTTGCTGTTTTTTACTGTAGAGACTTGAAACTTGACAATGTGATGTTAGATCATCAAGGACACGTCAAAGTTGTTGACTTTGGAATGTGCAAATTGTGCTCTTCTTCGACTCAAGGCCTAATTGCCACCACATTTTGCGGGACCCCTGATTACCTGGCCCCAGAAGTAAGTAATTTGAAGATTATTTTACATGCTTATTCATAATTTATAAAGAAGATGTTTCTATTTGAGTTAAAAAGCATATTTTAATCGTAACCCTTAATATCAGTAAGGGCCGGTGCATTTATATAAACTTTTATTTGAAGACGGATTATCCCTTCCGTCCAGTTTAGTTATGTTTTTTCAAGTAAACGCAGTCACGTTATGACGTGATACACTAATTCACAAATCAAACCTATATTCCGAGCTGATTTAGCGACAACACTTTGGTGAAGCACAGAGTGTCAGCGGCTTTCGTTATTTCATTGGCCTACCAAATAAACATTTCAAAACAGCGATGCATATTAATGAACAAACTTTCCATGTTTGACATTAAATTGAATCGCACAAAGAATTTGCTTTTCTTTGACTATATTTAAAAGTTTCGATGTAGCTATAGAGCCCATACAAACTCTGGTTTTGGGCAAAATTGACTTTGATTATTGCGGGACTTCATCAAGGAGGAAGTTATGAGGGTTCGGCATTGACGGCCAGCATGAACTATAATTTAGAGATCTGATTGAAAGTAGTTTGGCAGAACTCAAAGTTCATTTGAGGTCCGCGTTTTGATTGGAGGCTTGATGCAATGTTAGTAACGCAAGAGAGACCCAGTTGCCTGGCCAGTGTAAACAAGGCTGCTGAAGGCAGGCAAATTTGGACATTATATCAACTTTTTTACGATGCAAATTGCCCACTTTCGCGAAGAAATAAGTGAGTTCTTGTGTGAGAACTAGAAAATAGGTGGTTGTCACTGCAAAAGTAATACAGAGAAGCTATGCACTGCAGACAAATGGTGGATTTAGCACATTTGTCGAATTTCTGAAAGTCATTATTAATAAACACTCCCATTTCATTTACAGGTTTAACTCTATTTAATAATATCAGTTGATGCTGAGCTTAATTAGCAGAAAATTGTGATTAGATACATCACCTTTTTTCACTAATAGATCGTTCGATGTCAGCCGTATACGCAAGCTGTCGATTGGTGGGCACTTGGCGTATTGATATACGAAATGCTGGTAGGACAATCTCCCTTCCGTGGGGAAGATGAGGACAATCTCTTTGCGGCCATTTGCAGAGAAAATGTGATTTATCCCAAAAATATGCCATCCCCGGCTAAAGAATGCATCATGGCTGTAAGTCTATGCCAATCATCATCGCTTATCTCCACCAAAGGTGCATATTTAGGTATTAAACGCTAGTCAAAACAATTGGTTTACATATTTAGCATTGAAATTAATTGGATGAGTCATACCTGATTACTTGGTTGAGCCATCAAAGATTTAAGCATACTAATGGGTGTAGATGAACAACTTTCTCCGAGACAATCTAGACCAATGGGTAAGAATGTGTGCGCAATTCCAAAAAAACAATTAACAGCATACATTAATTCACCTATTTGCCTTAGTGTGATTTTACATGTCAAAGATTTATTTGTGGAAAATGAAGACTTTGTCTCCTCAAATGTAGCTCACGTTCTGTATCGATATTAAAGTTGCCACTTCTAACCCCATCACAGTACCATTCACTTTCTGATGACTAAGTTATGTGTTAGTATTCCATTAGGCATACACGCAAAGGGGTCAATTCTTCTATTCGCCCACTCATCGTAAATGTAACTACTTTATATAACATTTTTGTCTGTAGCAAAAGCCAGATACTGTCAGATTAAATTCTATTAATAGTTTCATGTTCAGTTGTCGAATGAAAGTACTTTTAGCCAAGTCAGGTTTATAAATTTCTAAAGAACTGAGAGTAAGCAGCTAGCCAGAATGAAAGTTGTAAATAGAATAAGGTTATATCCTCTTGTGGGCTACATACCTCCTTATTGAGAGCACATCTAAACATCTGCAATAAAAGGTCAAATTTGATCCTGCCCCGAGGAGTGTTGGAGAAAATTTTCCCAGTGCCAGGTTTCTTAGACTTCTGAGATTATTGTTGGGATTACTACTCCATGAAAAGCATAGCATCAAGCAGGCTGAGCAGATAGTAGAAAGTATCTAAGGCTAAGAAGGAGAACATAATCATGGATATGAGTTAAAAATAGCAGGCGATCATAATCATGCTCTTTGTATGCTGAAGACGACAATTATATTAATATTTAGCAGAAAAACGCATTCTCTGTTTTGACTTAGCAAAGCGAATGATCAAATATCGGAAATATTAAAAATCCAGAACCAAGCTCAGCCAATGAAACGCAAGTATATGAAAATAAAGAGCAGATTGATTATGCCAAAATAAAAGGAAAACATTATTAAGGCTAATGGATACCATATTTAATGACATTTCCCACTAGTTGCCGATTATTAGCGTATACTAACTATAAATTTAGGATATTTAAGCTAGATTCGGTTTGAAATTAAAAACATATCATTAATGCTTAAATCTGTATATATTTTAGAGACATGAGACATTGCATTGCTACTTAGAATAGTAGGCTCCTGCATATCGTAGCGTGGGAATGACCAAAAACGGCCTAAATACAAAAAAAAATGAGTGAAATATTTTTAAGACTTAAAATAAATATTCTGCTAATTTTTGCACCTATTAAAAGCGTTCAGGATTGTATAGCATAGTAAAGTGAGAGAGCTTTAAGCAAAATAATTTCTGTTTCGTTTCAAGCTTGTTTAGATGATGTTAGCTTATTTAATGGATAAAAAAAGGCTTTTAAAATAGGTAGAAAATACAGCACTACATTTTAATGTCATATGCATGAAAATTGGACCACAGGACATAATTCGGTGGGAAACATTGCTACTCACGAATTAATCTCAGACGCAAAGTATTTCAGATTTTCTAACCAAGCATAACTCCAATTTTTTCACCCAACCGATGCAGTTATTAGGTTTCTAATCGCTATTTACTCACGCCCTTACTAGGCGGATTTGGTGAGAAATTTAGATTATTCGCGTTGCCTCTTCTATTCTACACATGCAGTAGCTATTATATTTGATAGTATAAATATAATTAGAGCACACATTAAGGTAATATATACAAAAAAGAGAATTACCTACGGTTTAAGCAAGTGAAACTAAGAGTTAATTAATTTACTGCTCTTCTTGTCAATAAACTTAGAACCATCCTCATTATCTTAGAGCTAATCCATCCGATATTCAGGATATTTGCCATACCATTCAATCCAATGGTAAAGTCAGGTTTATAAAAGGGTTGCTTGCTGCTTTCTGACGTAGACCTCGGCTCTCTGCCTGATACAATTTTGTCATCGAATCATGACTCCAGTGAGTTTTGGAATTGGATTTTGTCTTCAATCTCTATACTTACTTCATTTCACACTCCTTATTCATTTTTCGTAAAATAAATTTTTTGTTGAAAACGCATGGTTTATGCCTTAAGGGAATACACCTAGCAAACTCGTATGCTTACTTATATAATAATTCATATATGTTTATATATTTAAAATAATTCAAGTTATTTGTACAGAGGATCGAAAGAAGATTAATTATTCTGAGGTAAAAAATTATTTTCAAGAAAAATTTAAAAGCTTGAAATAACTAGTTTTATATTTTTCGGCATAGCAAACACGAATTTCGTTTAAAAGGCACTTTATAATAAAAAGTAGATCATGAAATGCTCTTACTGAATGCTGGTTTTAAGCAATATATTTATTTATAAACTCTGGATACAAGAGATTTTTTAATTTGTCGCAAATAGACCGAATAAATAAATAACACCGACGAAAAGCGGAAAAAATTATCTAAAGCTAGAAGTTTTATTGAATATGGAAATTTCAATACTAAACGGAATATTGCGGAGTCTACCAGGAATGAGGAAAAAGAATTCACGCACGTAATTAATTGTAAATTAGTGTAGCTATTGCAATTAATAGTGAGAAAGCGCAAAACAACCAGTAAGAAGTAAGAGGTTTGTTAGGCTCGAATCTGGCTGGCGCTATGATATATCGCACGATTCATTAGGACCACATAACTAAAATACGTGTGTGAGCGAATAAAATAAAATGTGTGTTAAATGCACAGTTCACGTGCAAGGGAATCAGATAAAACCAGGACTTCCGTCGCAACGGCATACAGTTGACATATTATCCGTATATAAAGGCTCATGAAATAACCAAAAACATGATGAGATGCCACTTTGATTGGGCAAGTTAAGCTGCAAGAGTTAGTTTCGAATCAAAGCCAGCCAAATTTCTTGGTTGGCTGCTTGATGAAGACAGAACTTATCGTCTAAGGAAGGATATTCTGATAAAAAACTAACTTATCCAATACGTGGTATGCGATTTGATACTAATAGGACGCAAACAAAAATTATTCTCGCTAAAATCTGCCAGCGGCTATTTTCTAACCAGTCGATTCACATTCAACGT